TCAAGAAACCACAGAACACATTTAGGAGATGAAAAGGATAATGATTTGATCATAACTAAGAATGTCATTTTTTGATCAATGATTTGATCATAACTAAGAATGTCATTTTTTGATCTTCTCACAAACAAAGAAAAGAAAATGTCACAGATAAAATTTGTTAAGCTTCAGTATTTAACAATGTCAAATTCTTCCAAACTGTATGCATCTAAAACTTAGTGAGCAAGGAGAAACCTTGTGTTCCCACACACGAATATAATATGACAGAAAAGGGAGGAACTTCATATCTTTTATTTCTATATGTTAGAAAGCTATTCACCTAGGGCTCAAATAACAACTTCAGTCGCATAAAGGTGCCCTTGCTGATTTATTCAGACAGGAATTAGTCAGGGAAAACCACACTTTTCTATCCTAAGGATTGAGTAAAGCACACCAAACAGAAGTCAGGGCCCAATATGCTTGATAACAAGATTGGTTCTGTGACTAGGTTGTTTAATTTAATAACAAATTTGTTACTAAGTCACCTGGTGAAATATGCATTCAGATAAGTAGATTATGATCAAAATCAATGAACTTCACCTGTATATAACCAAAGGCCAAATCTACACAATTTGTGGGGGTAAACAATTTATTCCTCATTGTTATTACTTCATGCTAGCATGTGGATAAGGAAACTAAAAAAGTTATAATATTATTTAGGACCAAGAGGCTGATATATATTTCTCTGCCCAAAGCAATGCTCAAATCTTCGTGGTAGCAAGATTGCTTTATTTGATAAACCCATCAGAAGTAAGCAGCTGGAAGATCACTTTATGTATGGATATATTAGCATTCACCAAATGGATTCTACACACTAATTTATAGTCCTATGCAAACCCCACTTATATCTTCAATAATTGACAACCCGGTACATGTTAATTTGAGTACAACAATATGAAATGACCCAGAAGAACCAAGCAAAGAGGTGGATGATGGATTAGGTGCCACGATGCAAGGAGTTATGTCTTGGGAAAGATGCAAGTCAGACCATTCTATAAAGCTTTTAAAAAAATCACTTTGACAATTTAATACATGTAAGGAATACGAACTTACCGCTGTTATCACTAAGCTTTGAAGGATTCAATCTGCGGGAGGGTGTCGAACTTAAGAGTCTCTGATAATCTGGAAGTAGAGACTTTAAACAAAAAATAGCAAATACGCAAGTTATTAGGTAATGCAAATATGTATACATTAAACAAAAAATTTCAAATAAGCGAAGCAATATTCTGTTTTCAACAATTAGCACACTTTTTTATTTTTATTTTTTCTAAAAATGGATGAAGGTGAAATAAAAATTCTATTCATTTTATGACTAGGAGATTAACATGTGATTGAAAGAGCCTTGTCATGAAGCTATCATCAACAGTTCAAAGGATTACGCGGATTGCCGCATGAGCTTAAGCTGAAGTACTAAGAAAGCAAAGTAAACCACACAATCCACAAAGTGGTTCGAAAGTTTGATTGCTAGGCCTATACCTCCTACATTCCTTGTCCAAGAATCAGTTACCAATACATTAGTGTTGCATCAGGTTGACAGATATTGGTTTGTTCTTGTTCAACTTTTTTCGACTTTGAATCATGCTAAAAAGCCATACCATTTTGACATGAAACGGTTAGAATAGGAAACTTCATATTGGATAATATCAATTTCCCAGAAGCCAAAATAAAATGCCCGCAAATGAAAAAAATAAGTCATTCTGTTTCAAGTATAAACCTTTGGGATAGCACTAGTATTACGCAACTCCTCTGTTTTGGCCAGCCTCATTCCAGAAAAGATTTCATAAATCAAACATCCTGTCAAGAAAGTAATCAAGTTACCTTGTTTATCGCTATACTGCTAATCGAACTACATTTCCAATCAGCACAGAGAAATAAACACATTTGTGTAACACATTAAAAATGTCATGTTACGTGAAAGACCTACTGTCAGTGTTATGTCGTTGATCTGTGCAACTTATATAACTAGTTCAGATCGTCCCTTTAGCATGCATTTATGCTTTACAAGGTTTAATGCGTACAAGTAAACAAATAAAGATTCACATACTCAACCTTGCAGAATGAAAATACTTAACTCATATGCTGATTAGTAAAAACATCTAAATAAGTGTACAAAATGCATGAAGCCCCTATGTTAAAATAGGAAATATAGGCAAGGTATGCAACCCATGAAATGTGTCATCATTTAACATAGAAAATACAGTTTCTTTCTCCTATGAGCCAACCAGTATTTTCCAATATAAGGTTCCATCAATATATTCCTGTTTCTGTCAGAGACGCAACGATATTTTACTAAACATGTTCCCGTGTTTGAAAACAATGTTTCTGCAGTCACGTAAAAGGCTGTGTAACAGTATGTGGATGACAACCGCATTGAATAAGGATTCTGCGCTCCCATTATGCGTACAAATTGTATAATCACTTCTATGGTTTATGAACTTACAGTGCTAAAAAAAAAGTAAGATTATGTGTCTGTTTATGTAACCATGTAATAATATTTGAAAAATGCCGGTGTGAATTGTGCCTAATCAGTCTATTATGCGGTAAAAAATGAAATAATGTTACCATTTTTTTTAAATCACCCGCATATACCTTTATGTAGACACTTATATTTAAGATTATGCGGGTCAAACCCAAGTTAACAAAAACCTAAACCATCACCACAAACTTGTTTGCATAACAACCTCTAAAAACCCTCTCCCTTATGTCTCTTTCTCAGTACATTTATCTCTGCTTCGACCACGTCAAGTCAGCAGAGGCTTGAAAATGCCACTGTGAGAGGACTGACCGGTAAATTTACTAAATATTGTTTAGTGTTTACTGTTATTGTGTTTATTCCTAGCTAGGATACAAGCTTTCTGATTTTATGTTCTCTGATCTGAACTAATATTTATAAAGTATCCTTATGGAGATTTCTTCAGAATGTTGGAATACATTTTCTATGTTTCCTGATTTTCTAAATATTTTAACAGTTAATACACACACACATCAAAGAATTCAAATCGGTGTAATTCCACATGATCCGTTTAACTGGAGCATAATCCAATTATGCATGATGCGCTACTTGACCAAATGTGTAATGAAACCATGTTTAAAACATTGCATGTTCCCCAACAAGAAGATTCTACGGAACCATCGTAAAAAAGCAATATAATTTTATTGTAGCAGAGCAGAACACTTAATTCAAACTTCACTAGCCCCAATATTTTCCTAAACTATCTTGTTTTATTTTATTCATTTATTTTTGAACTATATTACAAGGAACCTCCCTGAAATATCAATTCACCAATGATTGGAAAATATAACAGGTAAACTACATTATCAGCACCAATAACAAATAATTCCAATCAAATTTAAGCAAATAAGAAACTGAAATCTTCTTACCCAAGCCCCATGAATCGATTGCCCAAGGAGGTGACTTTTTAATTGTTTGCCAGTCTGACTTCGACAATTCCATTGGTTTGTATTGTGAACCAATTAACCATTCAAATTGCTGCATCATGTAGGACAACAACGATTATCAAATTATTTTAAAATAAAACTCTCAAATCTCAACCCTTTCAGAGAATGTCTCCCAGAATAAACCTTTTTCACTGATCATTGGTTGAAACCAATAAAGGCGGAATACCCACTACTAACAGATTTAAGTAATGAGTATAGTAAAATTATTTTTGAGATAATTAAGAACTGTAAGGTAACGACAGTCTGAAATTCCTACTAGCTTAAATGTCATGGAAAATAGAACTTAATTAAGAGTCCTCAGATAACACAGTTTAATAACCCACCAGCACTGACTCTTCTTTTTTAGAAAAGCTTGTCATTAGCAATAAAGACAGAGAGTACAGGTTCACATATGTTAAAGATCAGATTCCCCACATGCCATGTCAGAAATTTTCAATGTTCTTATCAGGTTTCTATTTCCCATCAGAAAGAACAATGGTTCAGGAGTTAACAGTTAAGCTTAATATGAAAAGGAATGGAAATTAAGATTAGATCTAGAGCTTTCGTAAGGATGAGATGGAACAAATGCATTGACTTCAATATTTATATTTGGAATTTTCTAAATATGAGAGGAAGAAAAGGACTATTTGGATTCCATGCATACAATCATTATTCCAGGACTTGTTTGAACACAAATAGAATGACAGAGAAAAAAGAAGATATCAACATCGAAAGTGCAGACAAACAATAGAGTTCTACATCTGGGGTTTCTCATAAATTGCTCTAGAAGGCGGAGAGTTGAAAGAGTAGTCACTTCTGCTATCGAACTTAAGGGTGAGCCTTCTAGAGTAGGACAATACATTGCAAGTGGTTCAACTAAGAATCCACATAAGGTAAGAGCTAAGCAGTCATTAACTAACCTGTTCTGATCAAAATGTGGAGATATAGAATATAATTAAAGATTGGGAGGCCTCCATCTTATCTGAACAAAATAGTATGGCAGATGGTTAATCAATCCGAAACTGTTAGCAAATCTCTAACCAAGAAGATAGCATTTTAACAGGGAAAGTATCCTCATTTTCAGGCCAATGTGATGCTCAACAAGATGATGCAACCAAGCGAGAGCCCAAAAAACCACTAGGATAAGCAAGGGACTTCATGGAGAATTGGAGGGAGGTATGAAAAACATTAAGAAAAAAGAAATGGAATTTCCTTATCATCCGGACATATTCAAGGGAGCAAATAGCTGAAAAAACACAGTTTAATATAACTATAAAAACTCTACAAGGAAATATAGTTTTCCACTCCTACAAGACTGGCAGATTAGTGCAAATATGATCGAGTAATTTGGCTTGTATGCTCTTTTATTTAGAACACTTTCAATTAATATAAACTGTAAGGCTGTAAGGAACTTTGTCACTATAAACTTCTTAATCATTTCTTCTTTCTCCTTCTCATATCCCATTTCCTAATATCAGCAAAAAAAATGATAACTACGCATGATGATTGATGAGTTTGGAAGATTTTTGCAAATACAATTCAGGTTAAATCTTGAATGAGCAAAAAAACCTAACATATAATTAGGCTTTGACCTTACCAGACAAGGTGAACAAGACAAGCATGAGCACTGAGAATGACAAAGGAGCAAAAGGTAACTACAAAAGTATAGGGAAGAATCAAAGGATATAAGATACATCCTTACATAAATTGAATAAGTTGGATTAGCATGTTCAATAGAATAATCTAGAGCAGCTACTACAAGCAGGCAAGCTTCTTGCAACAAGATCACGATGAAGAAAATAAATAACGAAAAATACACAAAAATAAGAAATAAAATTGACAGGTAGACTGTCAAGGATACACACATTATAACTGGAGAAGCTCCTGCAGCCTACATGAGTTCTTTGGAGGGACACATTTACGAAGTACGAACATCTAAATAACAATTATTGCTGTCCAAGCTCCAGCATGGCTGGTGGTTGGGATTCATCACTCAAATTAAGGATTAGAATATTAGTGTACTGCTAAGGCTGTATTGCTTAGACAGCTTGCTCTGAAGCTCGTTGAATGTGTTGTGAAAAATGCAATAAAATGTTATTCTGGCATCCGAAAGTACAGAATATGATCTCTTTCAGTGTTACCTGATTGCAGGCTTGCAGGTAGTGTATTCAATACATCTAATACTCAAGCACATAACACTATAAATAACAATAAAGTACAAAAAACTATACTTAAGCAGTCCAGTCCCTATTTACTATTTGCTACACTATTGTGCTATGAAAGGAGAAAAGATCCATCATGCTACTTTATGCAATATAAAAGGATAAAGATGCTACTACTTGCTTAGCGACAAAAAATTACCAGCATGGGATCATTATTTGCATTAAATTCTGATAGGACATCAAAAGCATGAAGTTTCCAGTCCAAGGTTTGAGTCACAACAACACTGGACAAGCACACGTTACCATGAACCTGAGATTGCAAGTCAATGGGAAGGAAATACGAAGTTAGACACAAAATTTCAGTACTATGTAACACAAAATTTTGCCTCAGCGTACTACAAAAATATCACGCTTCCTGGCAGAAAATGCATACAAAAATGTAGCATTCAGGGTATGCACTCAACAGAATAGAGAATGGAAGTTTCGTCACTAAATGATGCTGTGAAATCTCAGTCATAGAAAAAGGAAGAAGATAAAAATTAAAAAAAGACCAATATGATATTATGGGGTTTGCCATATGCATAAACATCTCCACACTTCTTTCTTTTTTTTCTAGCAAACAAATCTGAATACAGTCCTTTTCTAAATACTGCTTCTAAAAGGTAGGTTCCTTAGCTTCCAAGTAGATGCATAAAGCTTCTTTAGGCACCAATGGAATGCAACAAAAAGAAGAAGAAAAACAAGTGTTGAACAGCTAAAACTGATTTTCAATTAAACATGGAGAGAATTTAGCTTTTGTCTGACAGTTTAGAACTGACCTAAAGATAAAATACAATAGTACTAAAATTGATCATGCAATTGCATAGAAACATAAATCATGAAACTAATAGAAGGAGAAATTGCTTACAAGCTTGCAGTCATTGTTCAGAAAGCTCACGGCTTTAGATATCTGGTGGAGTCCCCAGGCAAAATATTCATCCCTGTATTGGAAAAGTTCCTCACATAAATGTGGAAATTAGAAGTAAACAACTATCAAAAACTGGTGCAAGTGAATGAAAAGTATCAATCATTTAAAGTTCGTCGAGCAATAAAAATATGCAAAGTTCACCTAGTAATAAAAATATCCAATATGTGGAAATTGATCATCAAAAGAACTAATAAATTTCAATGAATTGATTATAACTGCAAAACGATCATAAAGCGTTTCACAAGTTAGCTTCTTCTGTGCCAGCTTTATAATTCTCCAAAGATGGTTATGACAACTAAGATTCTGCTAGTTACAGAGGATTCTAATATGGATTGAAGGATTTTCATAATCAGTAGTCAATCTAAGTCAATTCTCGCAAGACAATCTCAGATCAAACATTAATCGCTCTGTAACAGATCAACATTGATTTTGATTTGAGAATCCACATCATGTATGCTTATATAAGAAGAAAATCTCAAGTCAAACAATCCAATTACACAGTGGAGTGTAAGATTCAGAAAATCTTCTCTGTCGTGTTTTTCTTTGCCTTTAGCATGATTGATATTCCACATGATTGATATTTCTTTACTCTCCCTATTTTACTTTTTTCCGTTTTCTTTTCCTTAGTTGCAACAAATATTGCAATATGAATTATGATGAAACATTACTGATAAAAATAATTATTATAACCCTCTTAGTTCTAATAATTCTAATTATTTTTCAGTTTGATTTTCTATTGTTAAGAAATCTATCGAATGTTGTTGAGTAGAATATGATAGGATTCAATAGTTACATTTGTTGTAGTTGTTGGCCTGTGTAGTATCTGTCCGTTTTTTGGAGGTTTCATCAATGTGGTCAGGTCAATGAGAGGTTCTCGTGAGAGACATTAGCTTAAGTCTCAAAGGAAGTCATAAAAAGTTATCTATTCATTTTCGTGTAACAATGCCTACTTGGTGAGCTGATCCATTTGGATTTAGCTTATGTTTTGTTCTGCAGAAATAACCAAACAGTCTCGCCTTCCTCTTTTTGATTTTTTTAACAAGAAAATTATTATTGTTGCTGTTTTTCTTGGAAAGATTAGTTTTTGCTTTTTTTTATATTAGTCCGTTAGTTCTTTCATATTTTCAATTTAGTCCAAATTGCTATTTAGTCCCCAAGTTCTTAAGTCATTTCTAAAATACACCCCCCAACCCCCCCAAAGAAAAGTTGTTTCAAATTAACTCCTCTAATTGCTATTACTCTTTCTTGAATGGATTGGTTTGAAACGAGGTTACCCGAATACTTCATCTAGGCTCCCGTATCTGTGTCCCGTGTCCGACACTCCTTGGACACTTCTTGAATGTATACATACATTTATTCATATGTGTACTCAATTATATAACACACTTTAATTCAAAAAATTCATGATACACATCTCAAACATATATTGCACACTTCACCTCAAATTTATGCAACTTGTTAAGCTTGAAACAGATTTGTTTTAGCACATACCTAGTTCATAAGTATGATTTTGAAGGGTTGCTTGGGTATCTAGTTCGAAAACAAGTGAATCTTTAATTTATAGTCTACTCGATTAAAGAAATATAAAAATGATATAAGGATTTTAGTTTCCGTAACATGTGAATAAAAAACAATATCGACCTCATATAGATTATTAATTTTAATATGTATGTATATAGTTGTGTCCCCATATCCTAACTTTTACAATTTTGTCGTGTCCCGTACATGCACATGTGTCTAGATCCGTGTCTACACCCATATCTGTGCAACGTAGGTTTGAAACTACTTATAAGAATTGAGGCACCTAATTGCAATCAAATGATTTGAGGGACTAATTTTGAAATAATTTAAGAATTGGGAAGCATAATAGCAATTTCAATGATTTGAGGACCAAGAAGATATGAAAAGTTTAGGGGGCCAATACCCAAAAAAAAACCATTTAGTCGTTTAATGATAGAATGCTCTATATAAGAGATTTCCCGATTAATTGGATGGTTAAATTAACATTCTAGTAAGATTTAATGGGGGAACAATATCAAAAAAACTCATTAGCATTTTGCAACTTCTCATTAGGTTTTTCCAGATCAGTTGAGTTTAATGTACTGTTGTCAACTCAAGTTAAATAACCTAATCATACAAAACTTTACATTTTTTATCTAATTACATGTATTCTATAATTGAAAACCAGGTCTATATATGTAGTGTTTGTGTTATGATGTCAACCCTAAATTCTGCTATCCAAACTATAACTAGAGCTTTGTATTCCATTGTCAAGTCTTAGTTTGAGATAAAAAGGAATAAGAATCTGGCAACATTGAAAGCCAGAGTCCATCACAATCACAAAAAGTCATTTCCCAAGGTGATAATGAGTCGTGTTTTGCTAATTGTTGACGACCTGTGCTTTGGAGGTTATATGTACAAACTTGTCAGTTGTCACTCATCTTTAGACAAACTTTAGAATGTTGATACAGGAGAATTAGGCATAGAGCATGGGTTTTTTATATGATGTGTAAATTTTGTTGTACTTCATCTTTACATGGGTCATTAAGCAACTTTGTTATGTTGATGTTCCAGATGCTAAACAAAGAGCTTGAAATAAGTATATAATGCCCAATGATTTTTTAGTCTCAGGTTTACTCAACAGGATTACTATCATTATTTTTTTCGGTCTCCATTGATGTAATCTGATACTAAATTTCTAAAAAAAAAACTGCTAGCTTCTTTGAAATTGCAATTATTTGTTTGTTATGTTTATTTTGGAAAAAGGTCATGTGTAGATATGTTTTCTATTATCCAATTCAGAGGGTTCTGTGTTTTTTGAGTTTGTTGGGTTTTTTTTTTTTTTTGCTAATTTGAAGCTTTAGTTTCCTGCTAAAAGTCTATTTTTAAGCAGCAGCTGTGAGTTTTTCTAACATCATAGACACTGAGTGACATATTACAGAAATTTGATTTTTAGTAACTCCAGTGCAAAACCTTTTTAATATCTAATTTGTGTCAGCATCATGATATTTGTTAGCATAGATACTCCATTTTAGTTTGATATATAATATGTGATAACAATATTAATCATGGCATCATGAGATTTTTAAATATATCTTAATTATAGTGTTTCTATTCTGTTTATATAGGAAAATTTCAATTCATAATGTAAAGTTGTTCATCAATGAAATATTATACATTATACAAAAGGGCACAAGTAACACACATAGCGGTACATAATGTGCGTTAACAAAGAGCACTAATCCGTGCATTGCACAAGCTAAGAAGAAAATGTCAAGCCAAACAATCTAGTTACACAGAGGGCTCTAGGATTGAGAAAATCTTCTCTTATTTTCCACTTCTTGTAGTCAAACACTTTGTTCCATGTGAACCCCATTTGTAAATCTCCATATCTTCCTTCCTATTCAGATTCCCCTCTTCAAAAATCTGTAATCTTAAACCCTACACCAAAATTTCAATAGCATTCTTTCGGTATCTCACTTAGTTGGGTCAGCCACAGACGTTCTTGTTTCCTCCAATTTGCTTTTTCCTCCTCTTTCTCATTATCAATAAAGCAAAATGTGCGTAGTCTATCTTTCTTATGCCCATAGGTGACTGCAATTTATTATTACTCAAGGAATAACCTCATGGAAAGTGATAATTTTGTTTCATAGGGTATGCATTGAGACAATTGAACTTATTAGAAGAACATTCATATACCTCTGTGTACCTTCCAGACCTAGTTCCTTGATCTTCTCTGAGAGAGGTGTAACTGGCTCAGTCACAATATAAATTGTTAGCTTGGAAATGGAACCATCGAGAACTTCAGCTTCAGTACTATGAAGAAAAGATAAGATATTTGGATGCCGGACCTGAAAAATTTTGAACAAAAACTCTGAGAGTCAAAACTGTTCTACATAAGGAAAGAGGCTGGCATATGTGTGAAATTAAAACAAACACAAAAAGAAATTCGATGAAGTCAGAAGATCAAGTGCTCACTTCAGGGCAAAGAAAGTCTAGAAATGCAAGATGTGTAACAGTCAATCACATAAATTAGACTGCACAAGTTCAAACGAGGTGCTCAGGTGGTTCTAGCTTAGCTTTTATTTACTATAATTTATCTTGCCACCCACATGCTCAGTTTGAAAATTCTTTATTTTTTCATGATCACTTTGAAACCAACCCTCTGCATGAATTGTGCACGGGTGTTATTACGTAGAATGAAAATTTTCAACTCCTCAAGATGGCTGGTTCGAAGGCCTGTATAAATTGGAAGGCTGGAAATGGGACCATCAAAAACCTTAAGTCTCTCTCCATCTTTGCACTCATCAATTCTCACTCCTCTTCTCAAACAGCATTTTTCATCTCACTGAACCCCAACAAATTAATAAGATAGTGAAAGCAAGATGTCAATAAATAAAAGACATGGAACAAATTGAGGCAGAAGTCATCATTAGGTTAAAGAAAAGAGAATCAAAGAGAAGTTAAAGCATGTTCGATGGAGGAATGGTTGGACAAAATGAAAGGAGGGGGCTGGCATGATAGATTTGGAAAGAGAAGTAAATGTGAGGGAAGAAAGAGAGGGTGGTCTGGCTCTGGTTAGATTCCCAAAAAGAGATATAACAATTGTCAGTCCCAAAGAGGTTCAAGATGGGGGAAAAGTAGTCAAAGCCAAATAGATGTTAAAGTTGGCAGAAATTTACAAGCCTCAAAGGTAGTTATTGAATATAGGGATTAATAATAAATGGAAACCACATGTGGTTACTCATCATAAGATAGATCTGGGGAATAAATAACTACTTTATATATTGAGATCTAATATAAAAAATTAATAATAATAAGGAGAACAATAAAACTACAGTAATAGTAATAGATGGACCCACAAACCTAAGGAAGTTAGGTGGGTTGAACCTGGATTTTTGTAGCTTCTGCTATAAAGTTACAGAGACAAGGCACAATTCCAAAGGCTTTTCTAACTAGAATTTTTATAGACCACCATGCTCCAGATATCAAGCTTTTATTGTCACGCTGTATTATTAAATTTCAGACATCTACATAGAACAAATAAAGAAAGAATATGACATTGGAAGGAAAAAAACGAATAACCACATGATCATTCAAAGCCTCGGATAATAACTAGGACATTACATGCCATAATGCGGTGCAGCAGTGGGTGATGGTAAAGTTCGTGAACCAAGTTTAGGGGCTGTTTAGTGGTGGCACTAACAATAGTGAATAGCCCACTTCCAAAGAAAGAAAAGTAATATGTCTGCATAGTGCATGGTTATAATTTATAAATAAAACAATTAAGTCACAGAAGTTGTGAAAACAGAACACTGCAGCTTATTTTCTGAAATACCAGAAGACAAACATGAATAGTTGGAGAACAAGACAAAATAAGAGGACCAGCAAACTGCGCACGTGTATATGAATGGTTAGAAAGAAAAGCAGATGCATAGATGCACCAGTTTTTATGACAACGTGAGAAAGCAGTAAGAATAGATGAGGTAATAAAACCAATCACACTTAACTGTACGTAAGCGCTTAACACCGTTGCGACCAGCAGCCAAGTGTCCATCTTGATTGTTACTGGCTGAAAGGGAAAATATGGAAACAGATGACCCATCATCCTGTAAAAAAAAGGCAGCAAACGCTGAGAGATCTAATCAAGAATAATGAATGTAAATGAATCAAGCAGGATCATGCATTTTCCCAAAACCAAGTAACACTCGAAATTTTCAATTGCATGCAAGAAACTGAAACGTAAACGAATTGGCAGGTTAGAAACATAATGTGTTAGCATGAGTTGTCAAAACAGAAATCACTATGAACCACTCGAGGCATACACTCAACTGATGTGTAGACGCACCGGTCATAAAAATTAAAACTTACCAGAAGTGGGTTAAAACATTTTAGAGTCATGCTGATAATGTCAAATTCTTATGCAACAATCTCTTGATCGATAATGGAACGAAAGCACTAAATTCTGCATAGCATCACAAGCAATCTTCTGATCTACATGAGATAGATATGGAGTTTGTCCACATGCTCCTTCCCAGAGAAGCATACAGGTTATTATAGCCAATACATACTTTTCAAAAACTATTTACCACATTGCATGTCCTTAGTTCTAACGTGAAAAGGAACAAACAGGTAACTGCAGATTAATAGTTGAGTGGTTAAGGTTAATATCTCCTACTAAAATGTGAATCCATTTCCAGTAATATACTGACAACTTCATAAAAAAGGGTGGTCATCAAAATCTGAACCTACTGAATGAATGCAAAGCATGCAAAGATAGAGTACAAAAAGGGACAAACAGGCAACTGCAAATAAAGAGTTGAGTGGCTAAGGTTAATTATCTCCTACTAAAACCACCACCCATTTCAAGTAATATACTGACAAATAAGAAAAGGTGGTCATCAAAGTCTGAACCTACTGAAAGCATGCAGATTTGTCCTTGTTCATTTCAGCTAACTGATTGCGGTAACATACTAACACAATACTAATGAAAACAAGGTTAAGCCAAAGTTGGAAGAAAAAAATGCACCACGAAATTTGAAATAGCGTTTTTTGGAGCTTAGCAGTGGCCTCCCTCCATAGAACGTCCGTAGATCTCAGAATGCAGTTTAACGTGCGCTATTTGCTTCATAGCACAGAAGTACATTGAAAACAAAAATAAAAAAACTACATCTAATAAGTTGGTGGGTCCCACTTTCCACCAAATAAAGTAGTCAGACCCTATTATTTTCTCTTTTGCAGCCCTAATCCACTTGTCCCCCCCACTTTAGCCTAATCCCCAATTTCATTGCCCTAAAAGAATCAAAGACGATGGGAGGAATACCGGAAGCCAACAATGACGAGAGGTTGACGAAGCCAAGGAATAAACTGGGTGAAGTCAATGAGGAGACGAAGGCAATGGTCTCTGTACTTCCTTAATGCTGAGGTGACAACGTCTTGATGAAGACGACTAGATCTCTGTGATACTTCAATGTTCAACCGAGCAACAGTCCAGCTAGGTTTCTTTTGTCAAATTTTCACTTTGTAAGAAAAAGTTGAAGTTTTTCCTTCTTTTTTTGGGGCTGATTTAAAGAATATTTTTAGTTAGTTTAAATACAGTAGATAAATCAATTAGTGAAAGTATTCTTTTACTTTAGTTTAATTTTAGTTTTAGATCAATTAATTTATTTTAGTTATTTTAGGATAGTTAGACTACTGTTATGGATATATGTTCATTTTACTTGTTTTATTTGAACTTCGAACTATTTAAAACTCTTAAGTTTGGACTAGAGAATGTTACTAATTTCCTTATTTTTTTGACAAAAACTGAAGCCTTAATGCTTTTAAGATTGGTGTTAAGTATATATAATAACTTTTGCTGAGAAATTGAGAAGATATGTAATAACTTTTGTTTTGTCAAAAACTAAAGTCTTAATGCTTTTGGGATGGTTGCTAAGCATATATAATAACTTTTGCTGAGAACTTGTGATGTTATATTTGGAAATGGTGATGAGTCTCTTTATTAGAAATCATAATTAATATTTTGTATTTAATAAATATTCATATAAATAATAAAACATATAACCTACATTATGAGTTACGTTTTTTTTTCTGTTTTACATTATCAGGAGGTGAGCATTACGTTACGCGTTATCGTTATTTTCAACATTGGGTTGAGCCAAAGTTGAGTTTGGCTACTCCAACAAACCAGTTTTCGTGACGACTACCTTGGCCCAGAAAATTAGTTCTGAGTTTGGCAAAGGCAGAATCAGAATGGATCTTTTTTTTCAATGCTAGGTCTTAAGCAAGTTTTCTTTGGACAAGCCCTTCCCCGGACAAACCCTGGCCTCACTAAAGAAAAACCAGTCCAAGACTGGTTTTTTGTGGAGTTGTGACACAGTCTAATACCCCAAAAGGCCCACACTTCTCACAAAAATGTATTCCCAATCACCATCAAAACCCAAATTGGAGCATCCAGTTTCAAGAGGATCCATGTTCAAACCTCGTAAGTTCAAATTAAATATGTTACTATCTATAATTTATTCTACATTTTCAAGTGAGTCGTGTTTATGCAAGAAGCCTCTTCCTGTAGTTTAAAGGCTCATGCAAAGGGCAGTGTTGAGTGCTAAGCAAATTTCATATATATTATTAACACACAACCCAAGAGCTTAAGTTCTTGGTGAAGTGGTTATCTCACAAAGATATATTAAAATAATTTTCAACCATCCAGTTAAATACAAAAATGGGAATATGAAGGAGAAAACCATAATATGGTAAACAAGATGAGTACAAGTTACACAAAACTAACATCATAATGTAATCACCAACCCATTAGAAAGATCAATCAAGAAAGCACAGACACTGAGAGATGACGATACCACATGATGAGTGTAAAATAAAAGTATATCAAACACATACGAGGAAAACATCTAGCTTCCCCAATTGTGTGATGGACAGAGATAATGAATAAGAAGTAGAACGTACAGGACCTTTGCCTTTCATCTAATATATGTGATGCATGATGGAGGTAAAGAAGCGACCATGTGCAGTATGGCACATGACAATAATCATCTTCAATTAGCTGCAAAAGCTCACACATTTAAACTGCCTACGGCTCAAGCGGATACCCTCTGCCTACGTATTCTCTGCTATAAATACTCCTTAATTTCTTTATCAAAACTACTTTTCAAGGCTCACTTTCACTCCTCCACCTCCAACAACAGCTCCATTAGCCTTGCCTCTCTAACAAAAGTTATTTATACAGGGTTCAACTCAGCAGCGGAGCCATATTGGGGTCAAACGGGCCCTAGTTCCCTTCGGATATAAAAAATCTAGTAGGTGTATTTGCTTGATAAGTTTCCTCGCTTTGCTCTTCACGTGATTCTTCTTCACCTTTGGCCCAAGAATCCAAGGGATCAGCCGAGCAACATCAGAATTTCTCTTCAATCCTTCTTCATTGCTTGATGAAACATGTTAAGTCTGATTTTCCCTTATTTCATTTGCCCTATTTCATTTGTCCTGATTTTCTTTGCTCTATTTTCTTTCAATCCAGTTTATTCTTGTCTAATTTGTGTCATTAATGGTTTGACGAGTTTGGTATTTTCCATCTGTAACTTACTAGTGTAATTATGAACTTGGTTGGAGATGCGAATTAATCCTATGAATTACTACACTAAAATCCCATAACATAGGAATTTATAATTAATGCAGATGATTTGAATGTTGAAAATTGCACTGGCAGTTGGTTTCTCTTTTAGGTAGAGGTAATTTAACTAATTTAACCTTTTATGATGGGTTTACTTCACAATTAGACTTGTTATATATTGATTGATATATTAGTAAATACTAATGCAATTTTCAGTTTAATAAAGAATTGCATAATATTATGGTCAATTTCATGAAATGTTGACTATTGATTTGTTGACATTTGCTTCGAGTTATATACATTTGGTGCCTTATATTGATAAAAATATATTTTGTATATTGATGAGGAAGATGTCATGAAATGATTTCAAGAAATGAAGGAAAGAAAAATGCTACCATAAACACTATATTATAATTAAAAGTATGATTTTGAAAGTCTTATTATTTAATTATGTCGACATACTAATCAATTGTGTTAAGAATTTTATATGTTATTTTGTTTGAATATTTTTTGGAACCCCCATTGTCGAAATTCCAGGCTCTACCATTGGTTCAAGTACTGGGGCCCAAAGCTAGCTGACTTGTATGACGACTTTCAGAACCTTGTCACCTAGTATTGTAGTTTTAAACTTCTCAGAACATTTACTTTTCCTAGTAAATAACTACTTTGTGTTCAAATGTATTATGATCTCTCATTTGTTGTGTCATTTACTCGTCTTTGTGTATGCACACAAAGCTTGACTTTGATGGCAGGACAAAAATTTGATAGTACTGATATTAAATGCGTCTCAATGACTTTTTCCTTAGAAACCAATGAAGAAATTATGTTGCCCTCTAAACAAAAATTTATAAAAAAAGTAGACCAGTGTTGAGCACCAACCACCAACATAACTGTGACTGCAACTGACAGAGCTCATGCAGGCTGAAGACTACATAGACCACCAGAAAGGTGGAATTTATATAACCAACATTTTCTAAACGAAGGCAAGCATACGTCAGATTATTAGTTCATCGCACCAGCTAAGGTCTTTATTAGCCGATTCAGGGTTGCTAAAAAGTTGCGCTAAAAGCAGTTGACGAGCTTCTCCAAGCATCTCACTACTTGATAATTATGGGTTGTTAATGCATTTATAGTATACGGAAACAAATTGAATACGATGTTTCTTTTTTACTTGCCTAATGATCACCTCTTGCATATAGAAGAGAAGTTATGATTTAGTTCTGTTTATAAGCCTTGCACATTTTTTAGAGTCCAGTTAATGAAATTGACATATAAGTCAAATATTCAGCAAATGAATAAGTTAATATACATTGACAGCATTGTCATTTGACCGAAGGAATGCATCATCGACTCCCTTGTCCACTACGTGTCTCACACTCATCATGCATACACTTATGTTTTCTATAAAACTGGTAGTGGCAATTGAAAATGACTCAACGAAATAAAATAGAGAATAAAGCAATCAGAACACTGAGTACAACATCACATATTTAGTCCCTTCCCCAGAAGCATAAACAAAACTATATGGAAGCTCAAGCAGCAAGCACTGAGCTCCATCGGCGTATTGGTTTCTAATAAGGCAGAACCTACTCATCTGGCACCGAGAAAACTTATAATTGCATCGCTAGCCCTAAAATTCCAAGGAAAACCTCAAAACCTATGGAAATTTTAGGCATTTGTTACCTCACTACAATTTCATAAAATGTGATCAGATATTTGAAATTTTACATGCAACAACTCCCAACGGTCCAACATTGTCACTGGATGAGGTCTCGATCCTCCCAACAACAAAGGAAAACTCCATTTCCACTTCCCACTAAAGTACAGTACCAGCCGAATCGAAATCAAAACAGAATTCAAGAAGAAGAAAAAAAAATCTCGTGCGACCGCTAATGACCGCATCAAATCGAAAGAGAAAAGGGGGGCGGGCGCTAGATCTGAGATCTTTGGTTAAAAAGCAGATGAACAGAAAATCGAGAGAGAGGGGATCAAGAACCTTGTTCGTGCCTCGATAGTGGGTCCAGGATCCCCAGGCGGAGGAGAAGGGCTCGCCGATGTTGTAAGGGAGATCCTTGATGCCGGCGCCGGATCCGGCCACCACTCCCTTTAGAAACTTGAACATCTTCTCCTCTCCTTCGTCGATCTGATAGCGGTCTTGTCCAGTTGAGAGAGAGTGTGCGTGCGGTGGTTTTCTCTCCGATCTGGTGAAGAGAGAAGAGGAAGAGGAGAGAAGAGGAAGGGGTCTCTCTCGAGATTGGATCTGGACTGAGGCGGCCGCCGGGTTAATTTTGGGCGAGTCCGAGTGGGAACATCGCCGGATTAAAAAGTCTCTTTAAAAGATTGCACATATTTTACATTAGGACAAATTTTCAAAACCACCCTATTTGCAAACTTAATTGCAAAAATGGACTCGTTTTGTACTTATTTTTCAAATTCGACCCAGTTTCAACCAACTGGCTGAAACCGGGTCAATTTTAAAGTTCACGGGACTTCAAGTCATGTGAACTTATATGGATGCTTGAGAGGAGGATTAGCGGAGGACTAAATAAAAGTTTTTCACGGGACTTCAAATCCCGTGAACTTATATGGATGCTTGAAAGGAGAATTAGCGGAGGACTAAAGTACCGTGAAGTTTCAGATGATTTTTTTTCAAATCGACCCATTTTCAGCCAACTGGCTAAAACTAGGTCGAATTCGAAAAATAAGTACAAAACGGGTCGATTTTTGCAATTAAGTTTTCAAATAAGGCGGTTTTAAAATTTTGTCCTTTACATTATTTATTAGTATATAATATAATATAATTCTTTGTAATAATTTAATTAAGAAACAATCAAATTGTAATTTATTTACAAAAAATGATCTAACTTTTTTAACTTTTTTTTTGTTAAAACCTAGCATTTGACAACCTCTACTTTTAGGGTGTGTTTGGCAATAAGTTAAAGATTATGCTAGAAGTAGACCTGACCTAATTTTAACTTATTTCTTATTTGTCAAATTTTCAGGCCAGAGCTGGCCCATTTTTTTAGCCTAAATAATGCCACTAAAACAGGACTGATCTTGGCTCAGTTTTGTTCACTTTGCCAAACACACCCTTAGGATGAGAGTTATCCAGCTTCGGATCCAGATAAAAGCTACATAGCACAAGATAGGCACAAAAAATACATATGATAGAATGGAAATATACAAGTACAACATACATATGATTTGACCTGAAATGTCATTTGAGATGTATTGATGCACAGTCGTGGCATTTCAAAAGCAAGCTACTATTTTACTCTTCTATACTTAAAGGAGAATTTAAAGAATCATTGTTAATGCTACAGTAGATACTGTAGCATAAACAGTAAACCAGATGTGGCCCTCCGCCCTCGAAGTCACTAATCATGCTATAGTAATTTACTATATCATAAATAGTGAATCAGATCTAAGCCTCTATACTTGAAGCTACTATTTATTCTACAATAAAAACAGTAAAGTAAATTAAATGTACTAAAACATGGATTCTCCTTCAAGTATAAAGAAGTAGATATGATTTCTAAATCAACGTATTAAAACTTAAATCATTCTTTTATATAAGAGTAGATATGATTTCTAATATTAAGTGTACAATAATTAAATTAAATGTATTAAAACTTAGAGTAAGACAAGTTCAAAATATGATGCTTAAAAAAACAAGGGAACGTAATTTGCACGGGGTGCACACTAGTCTATACTTAAAGCAGAACCCAATAATTACTATTCATGATATAGTAATGCTACAGTAAATTATTGTAGCATGAATAGTAAACCAAAATTGTCCTCTACAATTGAAGTAAGGGAAAATTGCTTCTAGCCCCCAAAACCAATTCAAACGGTCCCAAAGCCCCCTAAAACTATCAAGAAATTCCTTTAGCCCCCAAAACCCTTCCCCACGTGACTCGATGTGTAAAAACAAAAAAATCCCAAAATACTCTTTGATTTAACCGTTTCCTGTTTATCTATACCACTCTTCGCCAATCGTGCCATCTTATCTCTCTTCTGTCCAAGCGAATCGACTCCAGAGCATTATCCCCGTTGCAAAACCCTAGCACTAAATCAGCCCACTCTAGAGCATAATCGAAAAAATGGCCGACGAGTCAACTCCTAAAGCAGCTATCCCTGTCGATTTCAGCTAAGATGACGACGTGTCACAGTACGTTGTCTCAAAAAGACATTCGAACACAGCAGAGTGGACTGAAGCTAGCACATCAATTGCTGATGTTCTAAAGGACATCGCAGCCAGTCATTCTCATTACACAAGTCCAGCTCAATCCAAAAAGCCAGTCTAGCGCAGAGATCTAGAGGGCAACACCGGCATCGACGACGCCTCTAGAGCGCTCCAGGATCTACAGAGAGGAGCTAAAGAGAAGCATACGACAGCACAAAAAAGTGATTTTTACCGTAAAATTTATGTTGTTTATGATGTAGCATGATGTGTTTATTGTGAATGATATTGTTAAGTTGTGAAGGTTAGCTTGTAGTTGTCAAGAAAATTCATTAATTGTAAAAAAACACCATGGTGTTGTGTTTTTCCCTTAAAATATTTTTAAAACACCATATTAAGTATTTTTGGTCAACACTAGTTTGACCCATTATAACATTAGTATTAAACATATTATTAATATATTATATATTAATTACAATAAAATATATTGTAAATAAAATGTTATAATATTTAGTTTACATTATTATGGTATTATAAGTATTAAATGTAATGCAACATAATATTGTATAATGTATTATAATATTAAATTGTACTTCAATGAGTTATATTATATTATAATTATTACATATTATTTTCAAATAATTATATATTTAATTATTTTGGTATATCAATTTGTTATTGTTGTATATTATATTAATATTTTTTATAATAATGGTATTTTATTATTATTTACTTTATAATAAATTATATTATTTATTACATAATATATTAATATTTTATATATTATATTATATTTACTATACAATATGTTATTATAATAGTATTATTAGATTGTTATGTTATTATTAAACATGTTACTATTATATAATATTTTATAATTATTAATTTATTACATTTTATTTATTAAAAAGTTAATAATATTATAGCAATTATACTATTGTATAGTATATTATTATATCATTATTATATTAATAGTTATTATCAATAACTTTTTTATTATTTTTTATTAGTTTATTTATATTTTATTATTATTTATTTATTATATAATACATTATTAACATATAAACATTAGTATTTAATATGTTATTATATTATTATATAAGATATTTTAGTTATTATATTTTTATTACTAATATATTAAATTAATTATAATATAATATAGTATAGTATAATATAATAAGCATGTTGATAATAACTCTATATTAATTACATTTGATATATTATGTTAGATATTATATTAACACATTCTCAAACTCAAAACCAAAACACAAAACTTAAAACACCTAAAAGGTGTTTTGAAATAAGTGTTGTGTTTTTGATTTGATGATGATTTAGCTTAAAAAACACAATGATTTACAAATGCATGGTGTTTTATTTTTGGCAAAAACACCATGGAAACAAGTAAAACACCATGGTATCCAAACGGAGCTAGGTTATACATTAGTTGTTGAGGTTATTGATCTATTGTGAATGTTACTGGTTAATTGTGACATGTGGCATGTTAGTTGTTAAGGTTAAACATTAGTTGTTAAGGTTATGAGTCTTTTGTGAATGTTAATGTTTACATGCGGCTGTTAATTGTGAAGGTTACTATTGACGGGTGGCTGTTAGTTGTGGAGGTTATTATTTACTTGTGGCTATTAGTTGTGAATGTTACTATTAATTTGTAGGGGTTATGATTTTATTGTTAAGGTTATTGATTGGTTGTTGATGATAAGCTTTGGTTGTGAAGCTTATGGATTTGTTGTTAAGTTTACAGTTTCTTTGTTAAGTGTACAACATAATTGTTATGATTACATATTATTTTCAAACTATTTATGTCTTGCGGTTTTGCTTTGTAGACAAAAGGCAAAGTCCACATTTGAGTTGCAGCCTACTTCCAGCTTCACTGTGTACTATGAATTCATGCATACTTTAGTGCAGTATATGGAACAAAGGCACTGGGAGGCCTACGAAGATAGTGTATTCAGACACTACATTTATTTTGGCCCTCCTGGTCTTGATCTTCCCACTTTTGAGCACGTGTTGAGATAGTGGGACGAGAAAAAGATGAAATTTGTCTTCACTGATACAAAAACTGGAGAAGACATCGAGTGCTTATTCAACATTGATTGGGTAATGAGCCATACATGATTCTCCAATGAGGGAGATCTTGTTGGCCCTAATCGAGATAGGAAAAATAGAATTTGGTCGAGGTTTTTTATCAAACTTGAGGGTGACAGCAGTACAACTTCTCCTCCAGCACCCACCAGATGCCATGTTGAGGATCTACTCATGAAGCTTGTACAATCAACTGATCATCAAGATGTGAAAGGACTTTGTCCTACTAAAAATTCTCTATCAGCTGAGCATGATCTAGTGTCCAAGAAGTATTCTTGGCATTTTAAGGCATTTATTCAAGTATGTTGACAACATCGAATAGGCAAATAACACTGCTTGGGGGACCTGTATATTCAGTGAGACATTTGTGTTAGACCCCAGAGGGGGGGGGTGATTAGGGTCTTATGCTAATCTAATCTGATTTTATGCCAATTAAAAATAATTAACAAGTTATCCTAGCAAGTATGAAATACAACAAGAATATAAGCTAGGATAAGCAATATGAACAATGAGATATATCCTATATGATAGAAATATATGCAAGGATATATAAACAACATAAGGGTAAATAATCTAAACAAGATAGTGGATGAAATAAATGAGCAATGCACAATTGGCGATATAAGATAAATGCAAAAACAAATACGTCAAAGATAAACTCAAACAAGCAATATGATCACGGAGTTCGGACCTTCCGTCCTACGTCTCCGCTCCCCACTCCTGGGGAGAAATCCACTATCACAACCGGATTTTCTACGCTCACCCGAATAACGTTTACAACCACACTATGTCGGTTTTTAACGATCACCGATCAACGTCCACTCCTCACACTCGGTTTTCTAGCTAACCGAAAACTTTACAATCGACACTCTTGCAATCACACTCTACACCCTCACAAGTGTTGGACCTAGCCGTGTCTCCCTCAAGTGATCGGTTACAACCTCTCCCTAGGTTCGTCAACCGACGCCACTCCTCTTGGGACGATCCCCGACTCTCACCACACACTCCTCTCGGTGTACAAGTGTATACAAAGTGTATCCTCACA